TTAATTTCCCAAATCCACAAAAAGCCAAAGGCCCATCAATGACATCACCAGGGAAGCCTAGCCCGCGAACTCGTTGATTTCTTGACGTCTCACTCACTCGGCTCGTCCTTAGCACGAGTCACTCACTCAACTCGTAACTGCTTCAGCTTTCAGTACAAAGTCACTTCACACTCATGTCACGCCCCATTTTCAGACAAACCCTAGTTTGTAGTAGCAGAGGGTAAAAAATGCCAGAGAAGAACAGTGACACAGCGACCAACGGTATCAAAAATCAAAAGAAAGCAAATATTTTGGATCATCACTCCATTAAACACATCCTCGATGAATCTGTTACCGAGGTAATTCATATAGGATTCGCTTTATAGTTAATCATTCCATCGAATGTTAGATTATTGTTTTTTTTTTTTTGGAATAGTTTTATGATCGATCTGTTGTTTTGGATTATAGATCGTTACTAGCCGTGGATACACTGAAGATGTGAGGATCAGTAACGTTAGATTGTTGATCGGAACTGTCATTATCATCATTGCTCTTTTTGCTCAGTTTTACAAGAAGAAGTTTCCTGAAAACTGGAATTTCCTGATCGGCTGTATCGTATTATATCCTTCTCGTGGTGAACTTTTTTCTTTGCCTTATATTCCTGCTATCCTCTTTTCGGTTGCTGTGAAAATGGTGGTAGATAAGGTTACATTTTTAACAGAGAAGAGTTGGATTTCTTTATTTTTTCCTTTTTTTTTTGACGTATAGTTTCATTTGATTTCAATTTATATTGTAGCTGTCTTCTCTTTGGGCCAAGGTAATCAAAGGAAAAAAGTGAAATGGAATTATGTTGAAATGAAAATAAAAAAGAAAAGATAAGAGACATCTCCAATGAGACAATTATCGTTATTGTTTGATTATGCTTAATTTAGGGTGCTTTTCGCTTTCTAAGAAGTCTCAAATTCATAAATCTAGAATTATATTCTTTGCTTTTCCTCATTTTGTCCCCTTCATTTCACAATTTGAATATTGTTTGATCTTTGACTCTGGCAAGTATATTATATTCAACGGGATATTGCAGCTGATCATATATACAAAGGAACAGAATGCAGTTTTGTTTACCTATCCTCCTTCAGTGAGTTATTACACTGCTCTCTCAGTAGAATTGTTATTTGAAATACATTCGCATTCATTCTATGACTTCCGTAGTCTGTTGTTTGCCTCGATAAGGATAACTTGCGAGTATTCTGATAAACTTTTTAACTCATAACTATTTCATGCCTGCATGACTATTTATGTGAAGGTTTTGTTTCAGAATAAAAAATCTAGAACGGCCTGATTAAGTTCATATTTGCTTTGTTAAATTACATTAGTTTGTGTTCCTTCCACATCACTCTCATGTTGCTGTTGTCATGCAGTGAAATATAGTAATTCATGGGTTACTAACTTACTACAAGTTTGTAGTAATTTACCTCTCTGAACAATTGTAGATACACTAAATTAACAACTTTCAGTTCCACAGTGTCATGTTGAATTGGTTTTCTAATGGTTGTTTGTAATTCCATTTTCCTTTTACTTAAGCTTCAATCAGGTTTTTTTTCTTCAACATCAGATACATTGGATTTAGGGGTGTTTTGATAAATTTCACTATCTAGATCTCATATCTGACATCTATCTCTTTGAGTTGGGACTTATGGCTTTAGTAATTTTTTGCCTTTTTCTTTGTGGTTTTGGTTTTTTATTAGATAGGATCCTATCCATCAAGAACTATGAGCTTGAATTCTATATATTTCGAGATAGGTTCAGTAAACCATGGCACATTACATGACAATAGAAAGCTCAGTTTTTTCTTTCTCAAGGAAGAAAAAGGGTCTGGGAAAAGGTTAGTCATCTTAGGGGATAATGAGAAGGGATAAGATGTCAGGGACTTCATATTGATGAACTTCTTGCAACTGGTTTTGTTGTCCTTTTCTCTGTTATTGCATCCATTAACTGCCTTTTCGTGAATTGTAGAAAAAGTTTACCAGTGCAATAATCAAATTTGTTTAGAAAACTTGTTTTGTATTCTGTTCAATTCTTTGTGCAGGGATCCTTCAACACCACTGGCTTGGTAGTCTCTTCAAAGTTGCCTAGATTTTCGGATATGTACACACTTACCATAGCAAGTGCTGATCCCCAATCAATATCTGCTAAGCCACCAGTTGAATTTACCAAAAGCGTTACTCAGTGGTCTCTCTCTCTCTCTCTCTCTCATTTGGTGCTTCTCCAACTTTCAATATGTATGAAAATCTTGCTCCTTACTGATCGCATATATTGTTGCAGGTTCACCAAGGATGGAGTTTTGGTGGATGGTCTGTTCTGGAAAGATGTTGAAGGACTAATAAATGAATATACCAGAGAAACCAAAAAGAGCAAGTGAATTTTAGCATCAGACTGATTTTGATAGGATCCTAGTTGAACAGAAAGAACTTTGATTAAATTTTTTCCAAATCATAGGCGATGTTCATGGTTCTTGCTTAAATGGAATTTGAACCATAACTTTGGGATCCATTGCAACAAATTGAGAAGAGAATTTCATCTTGTATTATAATTTACACCATGTGTTATGGCCAACTGTTATCTATATTAGTACTTCTCATTGATTATTGTTCTTTTCCTTGGTATGTTTTCCTGTCTACCTTCGAATTTCCGATGGTCTTAGTGTTGAAGAAATGGAGGTGAAGTTTCTATACAGTAAAAGGCATTTTTTAAAAGTTGATTTGATTCTGTTTTGTATTTTTTCTTCCCTAGTTTTTATGGCCTTGCTACAATTGTTGTTCTCGCCTCAACTTAAGAGCATGTACTTCAATCCTGGTTTTTTCTCTGAATGCTTTTGCTGACGCTGTTGGGGTCTCTGCTAATTCCAGAGCTCATGGTATGTTATTAGGCGTTGCATCTTTAACTTGACATTCAACATAATCCAAGTCGAGTGACGGAATGTTTGTTACATGGTCGTGTCGTATTTAGTTGGACCTAAATGTATAAGCATTACCATGCGAGAACAGGGGAACTCATGAAGTATTTAGTTGGACCTAAAGGTTAGTTGAAAGCCTTAAGAGAGGCACACGAGGGGAAAGATCCTTTCTCCTAGCAACGTCCAAGAGTTGTCGGAGGAAGTATGTGTCTTTTTCCGTAGTCTCCAAAAGCATGGGAGAGGGAGAATGATGTAATTCGAGAGACAACTCGTCAGAAAGAGTAAACATTCCTTAAAGTTGTCAACTCTGCCTGAATGGAGTAATGGATGATCCATCTAACTAACATACCTCCTCGAAGGATTCATTCTTGCCGGGGCGGAGCCAGATATCTTTCATGGTGGCTGTAACAGTTAAAATTTTATCGCAAAAGTATAGTTTTATTAATAGAACGTCAATTAAAAGTGTAATCCATATACATAAACGATATACAAAAATAGTCAATAAAAAAAATTATTATAAATTTAACTATAAGACCTAATAAAAAAATTGGGCTCAATCATATATTGAGTCTATAAATGGGAGAATTTAAATTGTCGAGCTCTCGACAAGTTTTCAAAAGAAAGAGTTGTATGATAATTTCATTATCAATGGTACTTAAAATTTCTTTCTCGATGTATGTAACCAAGCAATTGTTCATCCATTGATCTCTCATTCGATTGCACAATTAATTTTTTAAAAATTAATTTGTTCAATCACAAATTTAGTATTCATCAATGAATTTTAACAAACAATAGAAACTAATTTAAACTATGACTATTCTATTAAACTAAACTTAGGTGTAGGAATTATTTAACCTATCACAATATAATTATTCAAAATACCAAATTAAAACAATTTAATTTAACACAGAATGGTGGACTATATGCCTCCATTCCAATTCAAGATGTAAAAATAAAACAAAATAGATAATTACAAGCCCCATTTCCAATTTAACATAAAAATAAAACAAAAGAAAGTACTGCCCCAATATCAATTAAATATATATAAAAAATAAACCATAGAAGAGGTCTACAAGCCCCACTTTTCTTTAAACATAGAGAGATAAATAAAGAACTATAAACCTAATTTTAATTCAATACATAAAACAATAAAACACATGGAAAATTACAAGTCTTATAATTTTTTTAAAACTTTTCGGTGGGGGTAAGCGTCTAATAAATTCTAAAATTTTTGAAATTATATTTACACCCAAATTTTTTTAAAATTCCAGTGGGGCAACTACCACCACTGCCCCCACCGTGGATCTGCCACTGATTTTTGCTAACCAAACTAACCAAAAAAAATCCCAAAAACTTGCCTCTCAAACAAACCAATCATTCATAGACCTCTCCCACCAATTAAAAACCAACTCAATCATATGCTAACTAAACCAAATAAATAATCATCTAATAAAAACCAGGATTCATACCATACTTGATCAAGCAACCGAAAGAAATGAAAACAAAAATCAAACACTTTCTTGTACAATATAACTTTTTTTTTTCTAAGGGAAAAGAAAGAGGGAGGAAACTTGATCACTTGACCATAAAAAGGTAAAACATTTACGAGATAAGAAATATCATTGAACCAACTTAAACGAATTAGTTGGGTTAAGATTAGATAATCATACCCGAAACTAATTTGATTATTTTTTTATTTGTATTGGTGGAACCTTAATTTTATATTAAATTCATATCGTATTAAAATTACCACCCCTTCGCCAATTCGTATTAGCCCTAATTAAACCATTACAAAGGCCTACCAAATAATGATTTAATTATGGTATCAAAATGTTATTTTTTAAATATTGTACTTTCTTTTTGGTCTAATAAAAACGTGGCACCTACGAAGTTTATCTATTTTATTAACTTAGTTTATTCTTTTTTACAATTAACGGTTAGAATTTTAAATCAAACTAAAATTAATGGGCAAAAATCATTTTTAATATGATTCTGGGAAAAAAGAAAAATAAATTCCCATCACTATATAGTCCTATCCTCGAATAAAAATAACAAAACGGGTAAATAACAAAACGACAGAAAAAGGCATAATGCGGACGGAAAAGGGACCCGGTGTGAAGATCCTCTGGCTTTGGGCTATCGGAACTGCCGCAGGTACAGTCTTCTCTCTCCCTCTCTCAAAACCCCATTCTCTTTCTCTCTGTAAAGTCCTTTCTCTTTCCTCTTTCTCCTGCAGTGCTGGTTACAAGTGTGGCTAGGACTAGGATAAGAGATATGGAGCAGCTCATAAACGCCCAAGAAAAAACCTCTCAACCGATCGAGCCCAATTCAGGACTTATCGACACTACAACTGATTCCACCGAAGTTGTTCGAGAAGAAAAATTTTAAGGTTTTCAACTTATTTATGTTTTTGATGTTGAAGTATTGTTTGCAGGGTAGCGTGTATGTTACCTGTTTGATGAATTGTCTGAATGACATATTTGAAGCCCCACTTGAGTTTTGTTTTTTTGCCATGTTTTGTTACATACTTGGTGCATTGCGAGAAGTGATAATCATCAAGATGCTTTCTTTATATACTCAACAAGCATAAATACCTCTCATTGATTATTGTTTTAGTACATATTTTCTATAAGTTGATTTGATTCGGTTTTCCACTTTCTAGGAGTGGCAACATGTGTTATGGATGTGCCACCATTGTTCTTCTTGCCTCAGTTTAACTGTGTGTTCTTCAATTTCGTTGTCATCGTATTCTACGCGTTTCATTGCTGATGATGGTATAATGGGTGTAACTCTTGGCATGACACAAAATGGGGGATAGCAATTTTGGTTAGACCAAAACAGTTTTTAAGTGTAAAAATAGAATTTTTGGACGACTTTGAGCTTAAATTAAAGTGGGAATTGTTTGTTGTTTTGAGTAAATTTTTATGAGTTCATATTCTACTTTGTGAGGAGAATAACGTGGTATATTTATTTGCTTAAATCGAGTAAAAAATGAATGAGAAAATAGGTTCTAAAGTGACTCTCTTGAAATGTGAAAATAAAGGTGTGCAATGTGGGATTTGACACCAATCCCACATTGATTGAAGAAGAAATTCTACATGGGTGTATATAGGTTAAGTTTGTTTTATGGGATTGGGTCTCAAAGGATACCACAATTTTATGAGCGGAGTGAGCGCCTATATGCCGTATCAGCCACACACGCGTGCACTTGCTGCCCGCCACGACCCCACCGAGCTTGGGTGCGAGTGTGGTTTAGATTAAGCCCTATTTTTTTGGAGAAAATTTATTTAATTAATTGGACGAGAATTTCTGAACTGAATTTAATTTTTGGTATCTGATGGATCGCACTGGTTCAGATTTGTTGCTTCCCTGCAGTCTGAAATTGAGTTGTGGTTGTTCATAGAGAATAATTATAAGTGGTGTTTTCTGGCTTATATGGGTTGTGTCTTTTAGTATGGTGGTTATTCGAAAAGTCACCAAAGTGTCTATAAATACCCAGATTAATTACCATTTTGTATTCATTTATTCATCAGTCCATATTCAAAGTTAAGCCAAATATTAGAGCATAGCATTTTGGCATTAATGCAGTCAGCATTTGGAGAGTATACAATACAATTTTTGGTTCGTTGGACGAGTAGATTGAAGTGCTATTTTTACTCGTGTAAAGATCATTGTATTCTAGGAGGCAGACACTCAATATTCCATAAGCACCGTGTGTGGGGGCAAAATCTGTCTTAATGACATAATGTCAAACACTAGCCTTGATCTATATCAATTTCAATAACAGTACATGTTCTAAACCGGGTTAGTATTTCTTTTGGTGTGACAAACAGTTATATGTAACTAGTTGTCGTTACTGTTTCGTAAGGCTGCTGTAATTCTTTTATGTAACTCTTTCATGTAAGACTGTTTCTGTGTAACTATTTCGCACTTGATTGTTACTGTTTTGTTATACATTATATATTTTAAATTAGAAATTTAAATAACTAATTTTACAATATTTGGAACACCACAAACAATAATTTTGACACTGAATACAAATTTGGCGGGTTTGGGTTTACTTCTCCTCTTGAACACAAGCGAGAAAACTATTTTTATGTGCTTAACAAGGCACCAAAATCGCATTGTCAAAGAGTTTTATTACTCCTCTTGAGCAGGAACCACAATTCTGATTTAAGTTCGAAAATAAGTTCAAGTTTGTCTCATGTAATCAGCTGAGTCGAATCAGTCAAGTTGAGTTTAAATATGGACAAAATATGAACTAGCGATGCTTAAACATGATGTTTGAATCTTAAACAATGTTCGAACACTTTTCATGAACAAACACTGAAACAATCCAAGTCTGAAAAGTGGGTTCGATTCAATTCTATTCTATTCATTGGCATCCCTAACCTCCTATTGCTAAGCCTGATCATTAAAGAATACCCAATGGCACCATGGCGGTCCATGACCTAACCACTACTAAACTATTCAATCTCCGTTCATATTCTAATCTTGCATTCCTTATTTTATTCACATGATTTGACTAAATAATTTATCAAAATGCTCTCACTTGCTCATTATAAACATAGGTTTGAGAATGAATCACAAGTTTGTGTGGTATTTAGTGTCAAAATTACATAGCTTAGTAATAGTCATGTATAGTGATGTTCGTTACTTGGATAGCAAAATACATATATTCGTATTGTACATGACTTAGTTCATATTGACTTCTTTATTAATCCAATTTGATGGTAATTGAATTAAACCTACAATTACTAAATTTAGGCTCCATAACTTCAAATAAGATTGATCCGACACGATAAAAATAACCAGAAAGACACTCGGAAGCTTTTCCCAACCAAAATTCCTTCCCACACCCATTGGTGTTGTCTACGGTATCAATTTTTTTTTTGATATATATCAATATTTATCACATTTATGAGTGTTTTTATCACTATTGTAGATGTTTTTATTATTGTTGTTGCATGGGATAATTCCTGCAATAATTTAAGATAGCGACCTCCAAACTGATGAACCTGAAAGAGTCACAGGATCAGAAAAAGGGGGTCAGGTGAACATCCGACTTATCCCCTCCGAAGCTTAAGTCAGTCTCAAGATTCGAGGTTTAAGCTCAATGAATAAGATTTTTCTGATTCAATCTTGCGTACCTCTGTTCATTTTTCTGAGGAGTATTTATACATGAATTAGCAATGATTGCCAAGGACCTTCAGTCTCATCTAGACATTTAATGTCTGACACGCCACTCTTCGCGCAATGAGTATTTTCCACTCAAGCCTTCTCCTGCTTAATGCTAGGATGATGGAGCGAGTGTTCGGCGTCATGCCGAGCATTTATGTCATTCTCCAAGTATTCGCATCCCTTAGATCGGCGTCTGACACCCACAACTGAGCATTGAATATTTGAGGGAATAGTTCCTCGAAGAGAGCCGATCGTACATACTCGGCGTAGTAACCATCAATCCCTAGTTATCATGATTGTAAATCTAGACTCTCAGAATACAGGCGTTCGTAAGTGCTCATTAATAGTCTTGTCACCATCACTCATTCAGTCATAAATGAGAGGTCACATCGTATTAAATAAGGTGTCAGCTGTTGTACTCGGCTCCTCTGAGACAACATATCTCGGCCTACCTCCTCGCCACCTTTTGGACATTAAAACGACTCCATCTTTTCACGTGTCAGTCTGGGACCGTAGAGCCACCTAAAGTCCCACTAGTTGTGATACTAAAGAAAAATACTAAAAATAGTTACTACAACAGTAAAAAAAAATATCAAAAAAAAAAATATCACTTATAAAAGTGATAAATCATTCATAAAAAATTATAAAAATATTCATTAAAGTAATAAATTTTGAAAGGACGATACCAATTTTTTATTTTTGGGAATCCTAGTCAAGCTCCACACCCAACAGGCCAGTTAGTCCACCATTGACTCAGTTTTTGCCAAGGGAAAAAGGGAGAGGGGAGAGGGGCCCTGCTGAACTGAACCCTTCATGCCGTCTCAGACAGCAAATGACCCACAAGTAATGCAATCACTTTCCGCATATTGAATTATTGTTCCGGGGCTTTCAGAAGGAAAAAAAAATGATTGTTACAGGGACCTACTAAGGAAGATATTTGCCTAAATTAAGTCGGTCGGGTCGGGTCTTTTATCTTTCTTTAATAGTATCAAATCTAGCTTATTACTTACAAAGTTCAGTTCTTAATTAAATTTATCAACCTTAATGTTTAATAATACATATATTTATTAAAAAGGAAAGCAACCTCAATTGGTCAATCGAACTGCCTTGAGTAAGTTCCACCATGGTCTTACCTGGTATAATTTGATTAGAGTTGCGAATTATTATCATGATTCATTAATTCATTAAAAAATGATACAAAATTATTTGTTTTTACTAAACTAGTTGATGCATATGTCCGTTGCAAGTGAACTGTTTTGAGTATAAAATAACATATATGAAAACGGTAGACCACTTTTCAATTTGAGTAAAATTTGATGTTTCTTCCACGATTGATGTCCGACACGTGCCAAATGGGAAATCTTATAGAAAATATTTATGGTCAATTCTAGAATATGGTATGCCTCCTATAAATTACATGAAAGGAAAAAACGGGAGAAGTACAGCTCTTCATGTTTCCTAACTTTCAAACTTAGCGATATTTCATCTTTATAAATATTTTCTATTGAATGAAAAAAATAGAGACCGCTTAGAAAATATAAAATGCATTACAAAGATATTTAGAACCAAGTTTTTTCTTTTTTTTTTGAGAGAATAGCAAAAAAGTCGTGGGAGTTGTAAAACTTAAAGCAGAAAGACAACATTAATTTTTTTTGGAAGTACGATCAATCTTCAACACCAAGACAAATTAATGGCATAATACAAATCATGCAAAAAAAAATTCATAACCCCCTTTTTTTGTTGAAGTCTCAAAATTAGAAAGATTTGACAAGTAGCTTTTATTTCTAATAGCTAGTTTACATGTGAACGATCATGCTAGACATCATTATTTATCATTACCAAGAACTATAAGAAAACATGATCCATTGTAATAAGCTAACATATATGTCATCTAAGATTGTGATTATACAAGCCAGGACACAAAATTTTTGAACATAAACTCTTAGAAAGAAGTGTGCCACAGAATCCCGATATAGGCTTACCCTTTGATGGTGCTTAGCACAAGCTGGCTTTCTATATTACAATTTTCCTTCTAAAAAGCTGACCACACAAGTAAGGTGCTACACAAAAGCTTTAATCATTTTCTCTTCATCTATTGTTTCTTTTTCTTGGGGGGGTTCAACATGCAGAGGAGAAAATATACCAAATACCGCTTGAGAGGATTGGTCTATTACTGCTTCAGCTTTCTGCACATTCTTCACTTTCAAATAGTGTAAAATTTTTTGAATAATTAAAGCATGTAAATAAATTTTAAAGACCAAAATAATATGTTATGAATTATCACTAATACCAATCGTCTCTCACACCATTTGATTGACATATTAGGGTCTTCTGAGGTTATTTTTTCTTTCCATCTTAGCATTTTGAGCACATACGGTCACTGCTT